CCATTTTGATGCTTACAGAGAATGACTCTTGATATCTAAGACATCATTCCAGAGTTTTTATGCACAGTATTTATACACAAAACATTTCTGTAATTTGATAACATTTATAAAATCACATTCAAAATTACACAATCGCTAATGAGATCTCGTTTGGTATGATAGCATAGGTATACATGTGCAGTTAATATCACATTAAGCATGGACGAGCGTTCTTATTAAAATTAGACTCAACCGACAGTTTGTTTGGGTATATTTTTTTTCTCTACCAGCTCTACAAACAGTTGGCTAGGAGTTCATTAATTAGAAACTTGGTAGCAGAAGTAATTAGTATGGCCATATAAACAAGGTTACATCCAACATACTTTTTATTTCATTTAAATTAGTGTTATTTTAGTAGTGCTAATGTACACTAAAGTATTTAAACAATAAAACATATTGATACGTATAAAGCAGCATTCTTTACTATTAGAGATTGTTCTTTCTGACGTATCCGTATAAGTATCCGTATCCGCATACGTATCGAGGTGAGAGAGGCATCTCGATCCCGATGTCTAAACTATTTACTATAATTTCCATCGTTATTTGTTTGGTTTTAAAGCAGCCCCATCCATTTAATAATAGCATATGGTATTTTTTCTAATAAAAAATGTATTAACCTGCTGTGAACGTCTATCATTTCGCTGGAAAAATTTTAAGAAATACATAATGAAATTAAATAAATTTGTATTTGTTTTCATTATATTGTTTAAAACTTTGATCAATTTTGTTTAAAAACATTTATCGGGATCCCCCTCTCTACCTCTTAACATCAGGACATTTTATTGATTGATTCTGTAATTAACATTAGATGACATCAAAGTTACCCCCCCCCCCCCCTACTCACACACTAAAATGCAAAAGACGTTGATATCCACACAATCAATAAAACCTTGTAGCCGTTTTCTAAAGAGAATTTGCTTCCAGACCCTTTCCAGTATATGCTTAAAAATGCCAGTTCACCCCCCCCCCCCCCGGGAACACACACAAATTTTCATAGCGTCTGTTGACTTTCTTCATTCTTTTTTCAATGAACTATTTGACAAATACCTGTATGTCTTCCCTTCCCGTCCCCAGTTGAAATTGCTACTTTCGTGCCTATTCTCATACGGCTTGATTTTGCTTTATATTTTGTCCTTTCAGCAGTATTAACTTGAAAAGACTTCATGGCGACAAAAAAATAGGTAATGAAATGAAAATGCAATTGTTAAATTTGATTTTTCCTTTTAGTTCTCTTGTTGTCGTACATGCGTATTATATATAATTCATGGATTTATATAGAAACTGTTTCATAATAGGGTATTCATTATTTTAACTCTCTTTTTATAAGAAAGAAAAGAACTTTATGCTAAAAAATTCCAAAACAATAGATTTATCTATTTCTTCTATGCTACCTTGTCCATCCAGCTGATTTTTATTTATTTATTTATTTTTTAATTTTATTTATTTATTTATGCATTTTAGCCCAGATCGGGACAAGTGTGAGTCAATTCAACACGCAGTTTATAGAATTGAAGAGAAGAGGCTGCTTCAACGTAGCAGAGAAATAAAAAACAGAATAAAGGATAAAATTTACACAAAACATTTAATTGATAAAATATCAGCATTTTTTTTTTTTTTAGAGTTTTGATCCCGCTTGTACACAAAGAATTACAGTAGTCTTAATTTCAATAAATAAATCATTAAGTAAACTTTAGTCAACATGTATATAAAGTAATGTATAAGACATAAATAAAAAAAATTTCCGTGTATCTCCTTTTATCGACAATTGTTAATTCATCCCCGATAAAAACTGCGTGTAATTGCATCACTTTCGGAAATGGTTGTCCTTTCTCAAGCTCTCTGGAATTTCGGATACGGCTATCACCTAACAATTTAGGGAATTTAGAGTCTTCAAACCATCCCTATTGCCAGCTTTCCAAAGCTTTTCTGGAGAACTATGTCCATCATATATGATCAAATGATATACAGAATGTTAATAATGATAAAAAAAAGAAAATGAGGATCGAAATTTTCAGTCCCCCCCCCCCCACACACAAACGTACACACAGAGTATGCAGTATGGTCAAATTAATCTTTCACAGTTAATGTATCCGTAATTATTTTTATGGAAAAGAGGAACTCAAAACTTAATATCCATACCCCCCCCCCCCCACACACACACACATACATACATACCTAGTAATAAGTTTTTTAAGAGTTTGATTAATATCTACACATTTTTATTGTCAAATTTTGCTAAGGTGACTTGTCATTTTTTGGTTTCGCCCAGCTTCCCCCTTCTCCACTTCGTTAATCAATTTTAAGTGTCTGCTTGATGTATACAAACTTATACTCATCTAGAATGTTTGATCTCTGACACCTCGTACAGTTAAACTTTGTTAACTCAAATCCTTGGATATATCGAAGTTTGAATTGGTCCAATCAAGTTGCATGAGATAACGAGCGTTGACTGTGTGCATTATGGGGAATATGTCTTGTACTGGTAAAGGTAACTTCGAGAATGAAACAATAATATATCCTGATGTTGTGTGTGTGTGTGTGTGTGTGAGAGAGAGAGAGAGGTCCCTTTTTAACCTTTTTTTTTTTTTAATTTTTAAACAATTTAATAAAAATATACATACTTTTTTACTAATTTTATTTTTTTAAAATCCTTCCATAAATGATAGGTGTGAACAGTAACTTGATACGTTTTATTAGAAATATTACAGTAACTATATATCTTATTTTCCAATGAATGAGGTTAAAATCAAACAAGAGACGATGGAAATGGTACCCAACGGTTAATTCATCGGGATCGAGATGCCTCTCATACCTCGATACGTATACGGATACGGATACGTCAGAAAGAACAATCTCTATTGCCAATGTTATGAAACTAGACTGAAGCTAGCAGCCAATAACAGCAGCCATTATGAAAGGCCAAATAACTAAAATCAAGGCAATTCAGGTATCCGTATGCTTCACCTATCCGGACGATTTTGACTGGGAACCAAAGCGTCCAGATAAATGAGGCTCCACTGTATTGTAAAATGACCAATTTTGATTTTTGGATATTTTATACTTCACTGCCCCCCCCCCCCCCTTTTAAAGTTTTAGGAGCAATTAAGCATTCGCAAAAAAAAAAAAAACCAAAAAAAAAAAAAACAAAACAAACACAAAAACAAAAACAAAACATGAAATATATGCAAGTGTAGTGTCAGAAGGTTTTTTTTTTAAGAATTCAAAAAGTTTTAATTGATCATTTCCTTTTAAAAAACTTGGATCTAATGAAATTTTCTTCAAAACTATAATAATGTTGATTAGTGTTTATCTAATTAATCTAGTTATACCAGAGACATCTGTACTTAGCATATAGGTCCCTGGTTACTCGTCCGCATACAATTACGACCTAATAGTCTATTACTAATGTCTAAATGATATCTCTAATGATTGAGAATTTTATTGGCAACAATTGACCACAATCATCACCCATCCAATTTACTGCATTTAACAATTGTTGATTTTCTGAAGCCCAAAATGACCAGGGGGCAGCTATTGTCTTATCTGGTCTACCTGAGCTCTGTGTGCACTGATGCAATAGGAAATTTCGTTCACACGTGCACTAATAAAAAAAAATTTTAAAAATGGTAACAAAGAAAACACAAGATATGTCCAATGCTAAAAAAAAATATATTTTCTTTACTTCTTTTCAGAAAAATAAAATTGAAAATGTTTTGAGTTCTGGAATTAGACAATCACCAAATTAGTTTAAATGGTCGCCAATTTGGGGACTTGAAGAAAAAATTTAGGAGCCAATAAAATGTTTTAGGTGCCTTGGCGACTAAATTATTTGTCAATTAGAGCCCTGTATGGTAATTTAATTTTGTAATTCTGAAATCTAAATATGCAATGAATTTTAACAAGACGTGGCTGTTAAAAGTTGGCAATAAATACTGATTATACTAGAAAAGTAGGATGATAATGAGTGGGTGTCAGGATTTGAGGAGAAATCGGCAATAAAAACTGATTGTAAAGCCAACCTCCTAACGAAAGTGTTCTGTAAATCTGGTGATACCCTTATTTTTTTTCTTATTGATATATTCTATATACCATGTGTGAAATTAAAAGGAGCGAAAGTCATATTATTACCTGATTTATTGAAATAAATCAGCAATTACAAATTCAATTAACAAACAACAAAGTTAATTAAAAGCAACAAACTTGATTATCAAGCAACAAACATAATTAACAAAAACATGATAAGGATTTCTTTATAATTATGTACATAGTGGGTTGTCATAGGAACTAAAAAATCTTCACATTTCTTTCAATGATAAACAATTGACACATTTCAACACCATACTGAATATAACAAATGTAAAGAAATTCTGTCCAATAGAATATATTTCTAATAAAAATCACTCATCAATTTGAATCAATTAAGGAGGGCAGTTTCTTTCTTTCTCATTCTTGTCAAAGAAAAGTTCTGAATTGCTTGACTCAGGTAACAATTTTTTTTTTTCATTTGAATTTTGGTATCTCGAACATTGATCATGCGCGGATCTAGGAGGGGGGGGGGGGCAGACCTCCCCTGGAATTTGCAGAGTTATTAAAAATATATACTGAAGCAAATAAAAAAAATAACTTTGGACCCCTCCCCCCTGAAAACGTGGACCCCCATCACCACCAAGGAATATTTGCTTTTCACGTATGGGAATGCTTGGAATGGATGTTACGTCTTTTTTTCTTTGCTTGTCAAGAAATTTCTGGGTTGGAATTTTTTTGACTGGGGTGGACCCCCCTTGAAAAAATTCCTGGATCCGTGCCTGTTGATATCTCAAATACCTTGCATATTCAAAGTGATTTTGAAGCCCCAGTCACTCTTTCTTTATGTATTTTAGCCTCAATATCTCAAATCTTCGGATATTCTAAAGTTTTTTTCTTTGTCCAATCAGTTTTAAATAATGAGGTTTGTCTGTATATTATTGATGGGCTCTGTGCATAAGTCCCATGATTTCCTGTATTCTCATCAATGTAGCATGTTGTATGTTGTGATCTATTTCTTGTTCGAGAGATTGTTGGTAGGAGTAAAGTGCAACTTGCTGGTTCCCTGTTATCTGTTGACAGATCCCTAGAATATTCCAAGATATGTCTCTTTGATATACATGTACATACTTCCCCTGATCATGGTGGACCAGGTTCTGTAGATCATCTACAGCTGTTTGTGCTCTCATTGGGTCTACATGTCTGTAACACAAGATCTCTAACATGTGTATGAAAACATAGAGTGGGATAGGTAATAGAGTGTATCTACACTGTAATCCAGACTGTTGTTCTGGGGCTAATTCATTGATGTAAAAGATTGCATTTTCAAGAACAATATCATATGCCACAGCATGTCTCATCTTTGTAGACCAGGATTGTCCCCATAAAGACTCATGAAACATGTTACCCTCTGCATCTATTTCTGAATGGTCGACATACATTACGTATGGCTCTGCTAACTTGACCTTTGTCATCTCTATAATTGATAGGGCTTCTTTATATCTAAATGTCTTGTAGTAAAACATTGCAATATATAACATGTCAGAAATACACCCAAACTTGGCTGCTAATTTCAGCATATAACTGGATGTTTTGTTTACCAAATATACCTGTTTGTTTACAGCTGAGCTAGTATTTACTCTAAGTTGTACAATAACAGTTAAAAAGTTGTATAACATAAAAGCAGTGTTCCGGAGTACAGTGGCTGAAAGTTTCTGTAACATGAGAACCTGGTACTGAGTCAGGGGTAAAATTATCAATTTTTCTGTAGCATTTAAAAACCTCATACATCGGTGTAGGTCTAGTGTTGGTAGAATATTATTATACAACTCATCAAGTAGATCTACTGCATACGAAGCCTTGGAGATCAGCATGTGTTCATCTGTATCAACAGGTTGTCTGGGATTTATAAGGACACTTGTAATGCTAGACCTGATAGATGGACAATAAAGAAGTGATACTATACCCTTCTCATACAATTTATGAAGCCTAATGAATAAATTCTTTTGTGCTTCACCATGGATATTACTCAGAAACATGTTGTTTTCTGGAATAAAGAAGTTTGGACATATCCCCTCATACACCCATTTAAGGATAAGTTTAAAACAGACCCAGAAACACTGCAGGAGATTTTGTGGATGCCAATGATGTATTGTGTTTTGTTGAATCGCCCAGAAAACTGCTGTCTTCATGTGATAGGAACACAGTAATTTATCCTCATCACTTAGTCCATTATTAATAGAGTCTTTTAAGAACAATTTAAGCAACCCATAGGTTAAGAATTGGCAATGGTTCATTGAATATACAAGTTTTTGTTCTGCCAAAGAGAAGGAAATTCTCCATTCTTTATCTGCATGTTTTCCCAGTTTGTGTCCTATTGCTACAAAGTGGCATCCATTTCTGACTATGTCATCAACAATATAAGACGGGGGCCACGAGTGACATCTGTCTATCCATTTGGAGGCTGGAGGGGGCCAAAAATCACAGACAAGACAATGGGCGTTGTCATATTCTTTTCCCCCTAATACACAACTACCACATGGACCATGTTCCTTAGAATTAGGAAAACCTGCGGAACATGTGATCTGTCTGTATTTGGAACTGGATATGTAGAGTCTGTCATTTATTCTCATACATGCATATTTTAAACTTTCCCTGTGTGTTGGTGTCAGTAATTCAAGTAAAGCAAATCCTGATGGGCTATCAAAACAATCACAGAGAACAAGTGATTTTTTATTTAAGTCATACATCTGAGCCTGGTTTAAGTCCCATATAACGATGTGGTCATTTGGCCAAATCATTAAGTCCACATCCGATCCCTCTAGCCTGAATCCTTCTCTGTGACTCCCACTAGTCACTATCCTGTCTTCTTCTCTCATTTTTATTACTTGATTTATCATCATTTCCCTGAAGTCCACCAACTCTCTCCTCATAATCACCTGCTCTGAGGACCCCACTTTGTAACACAGTTTCATAAAGACAGACTCTGATACATACTGTATACCCAAGTCCCTGGACAAAACATAATAAATATATGTAAAAATATGTTAATTTTTTTTTAAAAGTTAAAGTTACAGGGATAAAAACTCTCTAAAATTACAACTCGCAAATAATCGCGAGTACTTAGAAAGTGAACGCACAATTTTGTAAGACTACTCTCAATTTTCATGTAAAAGCCTTTTTAAAATTAAAATTAAATACGTGTAACTTAAGTAAAAAGTAACAAAATACAACTACAGTGTGACTTTTATTTAAATTACTGATTTATAAATCAAAAGCATTGTGTTCTGTCATATTAAATAATTTTGATACAGTTTCAATGCATGTTTTTTTCTTACTTTATCTTGATAATTCAACTGTAATATGAGGAATTAAACCTATGGTACCGTATTTATACATCTATTATTATAAAGTGACAACGTTCTTACAAAGTGTATGATAGAGTTTCACAAATAAATCATTCACAACTGTTTTTTCCGAGGGTTATATAACAGCATCATCATTGTTGGTGCTGTTCATTTGTTTTCAGCACCCTCTTCCAGATGTCATTTAAAAAAAAGAACTATAGCCATGCTGATATTTAATGAAGGGGGAAATCCAAAATGAAAACTATTACCAAGAAGGGACTGATTTTTTCCCAAGGAAAAAAATCTACTCGCAAGTTTTTGCGAGTTACCTAATTTTTAACTCGCAGTTTGGGAATTCTAACTCGCATTTTGCGAGTTGTATATAGTGAATTTCGAACCCTGAGTTAATGAATCCAAGTTATACTGAGTTATGAAGGTATCTAGGCCCCAGTCATACAGGTCGTCATATTTAGGTTGAGCACTTCGCTTATAATTACATAGTAGTGATTTTTAGAATATTATCGTAGAACCTACGTCGTATGACATCATAGTTAGTGAACAAATTCAAGACAGTCTCAGCTAATAAAAATACACAACTGTGATAATGTGAATGACGTGCAACTAATTTGAAGGAATACAAAGTTGCCAAGAAATCTTCAGTTGACTATTAAATAGTACAATATCTTGATGATATGTTGTTTAAGTCATAGATCTATTAAAGATTGTGTTTAATGTGTGTAATATCTGTTATGAAATGATGTGTATTCATTTTTATAATTATTAGTTTAATTATTCATATGATTTTTAATAGTTCATGTATAATAACAATATTTCGCTAAAATATTAATTCTTTAAATAGAAATTTACATTTTTTGATAAATAATGTAAATTTGAAAGTAACACCAAAACAGTCATTTAATGATTAAATCCTGTGTAAGTGTAAGGTCAACATGAGTAGTATTGATAAAAAAATTTCATTAATTTGCGGGGAAAGGTATATATTTTCTAATCACTTTTCATAATCATTTGGGTATGTTCTTCATAATATTAAGGATTGAAAACACTGTCACAAAGACTTTTGGTAAATATTTACAAATTTAAGGTTGTTACAGTAGATTAACTAAAAAAATATTGAGTGCAATTGCCTATATTTCTTAGCTCACCTGAGCTGAAGGCTCAAGTGGGCTTTTCTCATCGAAATTTGTCCTTTGTCTGTCTTTGTTGTTGTTGTCATTGTTGTCATGAACTTTTCACATTTTCATCTTTTTCTCAAGAACCACTAGGCATATTTCAACCAAACTTGCCAGAAAATATCCTTGGGTAAAGGGAATTCAAGTTAGTTCAAATGAAGGGCCACGCCTTCTTCCAAGGGGAGATAATTAGGATTTCGTGAAAATTAATGGCATCATTTAAAAATCTTCTTTTCGAGAACAACTGTGCTTGAAAACATGAAACTTATATGGAATCATTGTGAGGTAGTGTAGATTAAATTTGTTCAAATTATGAACGGTTGGGCCACAATAGACGATCAAAATTTGACATAGAAATACATAGGAAAAATCTTTAAAAATCTTCTTCTTGAGAACAGCAAAGCTGTGATTGGTCCTATTTATATGGAAGCATTCTCAGGTACTCTAGATTCAAATTTGTTCAAGTCATGACTTGAATAGGGGTAATGTGGGGCCACAATGGGTGATCAAAAGTTTTTCATAGGAATATATAAGGAAAAAAAATTAGAAATCCTTTTTCTCAAGAACAACAAAGCCATTATTAGTCATTTTGATATATGGAAGCATCCTCGGGTAGTGTAGATTCAAGTTTGTTCAAATGATGACCCCCCGAATGTAGGGTGGGGCCACAGTGGGGGATCAAAGTTTTACAAAGGAATACATAGAATTTTTTTTTTCTCAAGAACAGAAAAGCATGTTTAGTCATATTGATATGGAGGCATTCTCAAGTAGTGTAGATTCAGATTTGTTCAAACGAGAACCCCCAGGGGTAGGGTGGGGTCGCAATGGGTGATCAAATTTTTACAAACGAATATATATAAGAAAAAATCTTCTGCTCAAGAACAGCAAAGCCATTTATTATATCAATATGGAAGCATTATCAGGAAGTTTAAAATTCAAGCCCCCCCCTCCCCCTGTAAACTTTTCAATACTGAACTGATTTTTGCTTTTTTCCCTAGTCAATATGTTCAGGTGAGCGATGTGGCCCATGGGCCTCTTGTTGAAATGTGGATTCAATCTTTTATGTCAATTGAACAAAAAGAATTTGATTTTGAATAATATTTCTAACTATTGTTCAGTTAATAAAGTCTATAAATGAAGATGTTTGAAGAAGTATTTTTATGATTTTCTATATTCTCCTTATGACCATGTACCCCTAAAAATGGCTAAAAATTATAGTCCCAGAGTATAAGTATCATTCTAAATTGCACTGGCTGCACTACACTTAATAACAAGGAAACATGCCATGTACTTTTAATTGATTAATAAGCAAGTGCTAATTACTCATTTTGAAAAGTTTGAAAATCCTGTGACAAAGACTTTTCCGACATAGGTTCTACCTTAAGAAACATGCGGTAATCTGTATTGATTATATATAGATACATGTATGTACAAGTTTGTTTTTTTTTACTTACAGCCATTCGTAGGAAGTCATTTTAATATTTAGTTCCTGTCACGTTTAAGACTAAATGGAAAATCCCTATTGTACTATCAGTTTATAAATCAAGTAACTTTCAATCTGTGTTGTCTGTGAAATCAATAATATCTTTACTGGATATTTGTATGAAATATTAGATTTCTTGAACTTATGTGTTCTTTGATTGCCATGAACACAGTAGTTATGTGTTAAAATACATCTAAAATATAGATAAGAATGATTAATTATTTAGCCCTCCTTTCAAAGAACTGATCAGATAACCTACTGTAAACATCATACCACCAACTATGTTTCAAGGTGTTTCAGTATCTCGAACACCGATATCTCGAATACCATGGATATGTCAAAGTGACCTGGAAGTCCCCAACCACATATTACCTCACCTGAGCCAAAGGCTCGAGTGAGCTTTTCAGATCAAAATATGTCCGTTGTCTGTCGTCGTCCTAAACGTTGTTTGTTTGTTTGTATGTTGTTTAATGTCCCTCTCGAGAATTTTTCACTCAAATGGAGACGCCACCACTTGCCGGTGGAGAGCTGCAAATTTTGTCCTATACTCGGTACTTACGGCCATTGAGCAGTGAGGGATCTTTTTCGTGCCAGCAACTACTGCGACACGGGACCTCGGTTTATACGGTCTCATCCGAAGGACCGGTCTCCACGTCCCACGGTGGGATTCGAACCCGCGACGTAAGGATCAACTTATTACTTGGCGACTCTAGAGCAGACACTCTAACCACTGCGCCACGCGGGCGACTCTAAGCGTTGTTTTTGTCATTGTTAATTTTTTTTTTTTTTTTTTTTTTTAATACAATTTCATCTTCTTATCCAGAACCATTGGGTAATTTCAATCAAACTTGCCACAAAGCATCCTTGGGTAAAGGGAATTCAAATTTATTCAGAGGAAGTGCCATGCCTTCTTTCAAGTGGAGATAATTAAGAATTCATGAAAATTTGGTGGCATCATTTAAAAATCTTCTTTTCAAAAACCACTGACCCAGAAAAGATGAAACTTAAACGAAAGTTTCAGTGCATTTTCATAGATTCAGTTTTGCTCAGGGGAATTGCCGGGGTACAACATTGGATCAAAGTTTTACGTAGAAATATTTAGAAAATATCTTTAAAAATCTTCTTCTCAGGAACAGCAAAGCCATAGTTAGTCATATTAATACAGAAGCATTCTTAGGTAGTGTAGATTCAAGTTTGTTCAATCATGACCCCCTGAGACTAGGGCATGGACACAACAGGGGATCAAAGTTCTACATAGGAATATACATATAAAAAAAAACCTTCTCAAGAACAGGAAAGCGATGATTAATCATATTTATATATATGGAAGCATCCTCAGGTAGTGTAGATTGAATTTTGTTCAAATCATGACCCCCTGGGGTAGGATGGGGCCATAATATGTGATCATAAGATTTATATAGGAAAAAGAATCTGCTGAAGAAGAACAGAAGGGCCATAGTTACTCAGGTGAGCCTTGTGGCCCATGATCCTCTTCTTCTTTAAGTATTCAACCCTCAGTATCTTTAAATTCTGACATCTCAGAGTTTTTTCTAGGTCCCTTTGAATTCTTGAGGTTTGACTGTAACTGGAAGAAACTTTGAAATGTTTGTCCCAACCATTTTTTGTTATGAAAAAAACAGAGAAAATTATGTATGTCAGAATTAGCTAATGCACAGGCAGTATACTGTAATTTGACATTAAAGACCTGTGGAAAAAATTGTAACCAGTATCGAATTCAAGCTGTAAACTATTTATGTATTATTATATTCTCGATTAAGAATGCAACCACAGATAAAGTAAAGCCTCTCTGATTTATTCTAAAAATCTTTGTTAGAACTCTGTGTGACACAAACAGTGTGGGGAAGATAAACATGGAACAGTTCGCCCTGGCCATGTACCTCGTACAACAGAAACTAAAGGGGTGGATCCTCCAGCGACCCTCACCCCAGAGATGATCCCCCCTCCATGCGACCCAAGGGAACGCTGACACCATACAGTGTGATGTTACGGTGAGTATAGGTTTCTTAATTTGGATTTATAAATAAATTCAAAATGTTTTACAATTAATTCATCAATTTAAGGACTAAAATGTGTAATATTTTTGTACCTCAAATATTATCTTTAGCAGTTATAACTCTGTACAAATATATTAAGTTTATTTAACAGAATATGACTTTGTAAACCTGGTTTTTTGTTGAGGTGAAAAAAACCTAGTGTTAATCTACAAGAAGTAATTTTTTGATGGGGGATTTTTACAGGATGTGGTGAATACCGGACCCTATGGACATGTGGCAGATTCTTCAGCCATCAAAGAATTGAACATCATCTCTAAGGAAATTGAGGACAAGAAAAGGTAGCTTAAGTCAGAATATTGCTGGTAGGCTGGGTAAAAATGGCTGAGTTGAATAGTGTAATTAGATATCAAAGTACTTTGATGACTACAATTGAAAGATCATGTGATTATTTAGTAAGAAGGTCATTTAGAGCAAGTACTATAGTAGAATATTCATTTAATTCCTTATGTTGAAATATTTCTCAATAGAATATATAGAGAGAACTTCTGTTTTTCTGATGTCACAATATGTTTTTCCGTCACTCCTTTCTCACATGTGCATCTGATGTCACAAATATCCATTGAATTGGATTTACTTGTAAAGATGTTAATGGCCAGAAATACAGAGAAATCCCATTCAAATGGGTCGGAAAAAATGTATTTGCATTAAATATATATTGAAAAGAAATTGTGGAAATATCGGGAAAAATGCTTGCCCTCTGTCTGCGCAGATGTGGACCTCGCAAGCTCGGTCTGCTCTACGCTGAAAATACCAGGTACCTCTTGCAGGCATATTTCCTGATATTCAGTCAATAACCTATAAGTATCAGGTGCTTAGGAAGTTAAAAAAAACATGATAATACAGTAAAGCTAGTCTAATACGGACCCCACTGGTTCTAAAAAAATTGCTGGATTAAATAAAACACTGAATTAGACAACTTTTTAAACAACTGAATATACTGAAAGAGACTAAAAGTTAACATTTTATTAGGCAAGATTTCAAAATACACAACATCTGGATTAAACAAGTTTCACTGTATTTATGTTTAACTGAGAAGGATGTATCTGATGTACATTGAAATCTAACCTGATTTATGCAGTCTATTAAAGTAAATGGAGAGATTTAAAGTGTAGAAAAATGTAAAAAAGGATTATTTAAACAAGTAGCTGCAATCTGACAGAGGTAATCTTAAAAGTATCAATGAAAAGAAAGACTTTTAATTTGAATTCTAGAAGCAGAATAAACTGCACCTGAATGAATCTGTCAAGTTAGCTGAGGTATTTTCTGAGTGCCCTGTACTTTTGGGTTAGGGTTAGAGTTAGGGTTAGGGGTTAAGGTTAGGGTTAGGGATTTTCTCTTTTGTGATTTATAATGAAATGAATCATTTGTTTTAAAAAACATTTTGCAGAAATCTGACCTTGAGACTAATGTTCGTGATTTGAAGAAAAAATATGACACAGAACTGAAAAGTATTGAGGAGTTAGGGTCAAAAATCAACAACAGGGAGCTGTCTGTGCAGGTAGAGTGACCCATGAATATTCATCAGCATGATAGGGAGTAGTCATTTCAGTTAAAGTGTCTAATGAAGAGTGATCATCAGACTGAAAAAAAAAAAACAGTGGTTAAATTGTCACTCATCAGTATTAATAAGTGAAGATATCAATTTTACGCAACTACTTAATGTTGATACATGTAATAAATTCCTCATGTATATTTCAGATTCTATCGTATGTTTTCACTGAGCATTCATTGAGAATTGGCGTCTGACAATTTTTCTCTATTAAAAAAAGCACGAAATATACATGTAGGTCACACTGATTTGTTCATTTATTTTATACAAGTTGTTTGATCAAACAGTCAGTTATGTTCTTTTAAAATTTATAAAACTTCATTTTCATTTGAAAATCAAGAACCAAGAGAAAGAGCTGGAGAAATTAAGAGTGGAACTAAATTCAATGAAGTAGGAAGAATCAAAAATCAAAGATGGAACAGCAAGTGGAGGGTGGAAAACAACAACTAGAGTTGCTGGTCAAATCACAAAATGATCTTCAGCTTCAAATATCACAGGTAAGAGTCCAAGTGTCACAATTACAATATTAATGATCTGCATTTGTTATCTATTATTTGTGGAACAGTTTTGGGAGATAGGCACATGAAAGGGGAAAAAAAAAAGAACCGTGATTGATCTCAGATATTTTTAACAGTACCAATCATGAACAACAAACAAAATTGTTAAAAAAAAAAAGAGAAGAGAAGAAAAGGAAAATTAATACCTGAAATATGGGGATATATCTGCTTAACTTTTATTTTTCAAGATGTTTCACTTGTGCTATTTGGAAAATCAGTCATAAGAAAGGAAAATGTATTTACAAATCAATAAACATTTTGAAAATGCAGATATTGATCAAGTCGCTGACCTTTCGATACTGTCACTGGACGTAAATATAATTAATATATTTTAGACTCGTCAGAGAGTACAGCATTTAAATGATCAGGAGAGAGGCTTAAAACACAGCATTGCCAGTTATAGCAGTGTTAACAGTGAGGTGTCTAATATCTTCTACAGCCAACTCCAGGACGATCTTGGTACTAGGGCTACAGTAATTATTAGGTCTACAGTAAGTACTAGGTCTACAGTAAGTACTAGGTCTACAGTAAGTACTAGGGCTACAGTAAGTACTAGGTCTACAGTTAGTACTAGGTCTACAGTAAGTACTAGGGCTACAGTAAGTACTAGGTCTACAGTAAGTACTAGGGCTACAGTAAGTACTAGGTCTACAGTAAGTACTAGGTCTACAGTAAGTACTAGGTCTACAGTAAGTACTAGGTCTACAGTAAGTACTAGGTCTACAGTAAGTACTAGGGCTACAGTAAGTACTAGGTCTACAGTAAGTACTAGGGCTACAGTAAGTACTAGGTCTACAGTAAGTACTAGGTCTACAGTAAGTACTAGGGCTACAGTAAGTACTAGGTCTACAGTAAGTACTAGGTCTACAGTAAGTACTAGGGCTACAGTAAGTACTAGGTCTACAGTAAGTATTAGGGCTACAGTAAGTACTAGGTCTACAGTAAGTACTAGGTCTACAGTAAGTACTAGGTCTACAGTAAGTACTAGGTCTACAGTAAGTACTAGGGCTACAGTAAGTACTAGGTCTACAGTAAGTATTAGGGCTACAGTAAGTACTAGGTCTACAGTAAGTACTAGGTCTACAGTAAGTACTAGGTCTACAGTAAGTACTATTTCTACAGTAAGTACTAGGGCTACAGTAAGTACTAGGTCTACAGTAAGTACTTAGGCTACAGTAAGTATTAGGTCTACAGTAAGTACTAGGGCTACAGTAAGTACTAGGTCTACAGTAAGTACTAGGTCTACAGTAAGTACTAGGGCTACAGTAAGTACTAGGGCTACAGTAATTATTAGGTCTACAGTAAGTACTAGGCCTACAGTAAGTACTAGGTCTACAGTAAGTACTAGGGCTACAGTAAGTATTAGGGCTACAGTAAGTACTGATACAGTTATAGCAGTGTTAACAGTGAGGTGTCTAATATCTTCTCCAACTCCACGACGATCTTAGTACTTGGGCTACAGTAAGTACTAGGGCTACAGTAAGTACTAGGTCTACAGTAAGTACTAGGTCTACAGTAAGTACTAGGTCTACAGTAAGTACTAGGTCTACAGTAAGTACTAGGTCTACAGTAAGTACTAGGTCTACAGTTAGTACTAGGTCTACAGTAAGTACTAGGTCTACAGTAAGTACTCGGGCTACAGTAAGTACTTGGTCTACAGTAAGTACTAGGTCTACAGTAAGTACTAGGTCTACAGTAAGTACTAGGTCTACAGTTAGTACTAGGTCTACAGTAAGTACTAGGTCTACAGTAAGTACTAGGTCTACAGTAAGTACTAGGGCTACAGTAAGTACTAGGTCTACAGTAAGTACTAGGTCTACAGTTAGTACTAGGTCTACAGTAAGTACTAGGTCTACAGTAAGTACTAGGTCTACAGTAAGTACTCGGGCTACAGTAAGTACTTGGTCTACAGTAAGTACTAGGTCTACAGTAAGTACTAGGTCTACAGTAAGTACTAGGTCTACAGTAAGTACTAGGTCTACAGTAAGTACTAGGTCTACAGTTAGTACTAGGTCTACAGTAAGTACTAGGTCTACAGTAAGTACTAGGTCTACAGTAAGTACTCGGGCTACAGTAAGTACTGATACAGTAAGTACTAGGTCTACAGTAAGTACTAGGTCTACAGTAAGTACTAGGTCTACAGTAAGTACTAGGTCTACAGTAAGTACTAGGTCTACAGTAAGTACTAGGTCTACAGTAAGTACTAGGGCTACAGTAAGTACTCGGGCTACAGTAAGTACTAGGGCTACAGTAAGTACTAGGTCTACAGTAAGTACTAGGTCTACAGTAAGTACTAGGTCTACAGTAAGTACTAGGTCTACAGTAAGTACTAGGTCTACAGTAAGTACTAGGTCTACAGTAAGTACTAGGGCTACAGTAAGTACTTGGGCTACAGTAAGTACTAAGTCTACAGTAAGTACTAAGGCTACAAAAAGTACTAGGGCTACAGTAAGTACTAGGGCTACAGTAAGTACTAGGTCTACAGTAAGTACTAGGTCTACAGTAAGTACTAGGTCTACAGTAAGTACTAGGTCTACAGTAAGTACTAGGTCTACAGTTAGTACTAGGTCTACAGTAATTACTAGGGCTACAATAAGTACTAGGGCTACAGTAAGTACTAGGTCTACAGTTAGTACTAGGTCTACAGTAAGTACTAGGTCTACAGTAAGTACTGATACAGTAAGTACTAGGGCTACAGTAAGTACTAGGTCTACAGTAAGTACTAGGTCTACAGTAAGTACTAGGTCTACAGTAAGTACTAGGTCTACAGTAAGTACTGATACAGTAAGTACTAGGGCTACAGTAAGTACTAGGTCTACAGTAAGTACTAGGGCTACAGTAAGTACTAGGTCTACAGTAAGTACTAGGTCTACAGTAAGTACTAGGTCTACAGTAAGTACTAGGGCTACAGTAAGTACTCGGGCTACAGTAAGTACTTGGGCTACAGTAAGTACTAAGTCTACAGTAAGTACTAGGTCTACAGTAAGTACTAGGGCTACAGTAAGTACTAGGGCTACAGTAAGTACTAGGGCTACAGTAAGTACTAGGTCTACAGTAAGTACTAGGTCTACAGTAAGTACTAGGTCTACAGTAAGTACTAGGTCTACAGTAAGTACTAGGTCTACAGTTAGTACTAGGTCTACAGTAAGTACTAGGGCTACAGTAAGTACTAGGTTTACAGTAAGTACTAGGTCTACAGTAAGTACTAGGTCTACAGTAAGTACTAAGTCTACAGTAAGTACTAGGTCTACAGTAAGTACTAGGTCTACAGTAAGTACTAGGTCTACAGTAAGTACTAGGTCTACAGTAAGTACTTAGGCTACAGTAAGTACTAGGTCTACAGTAAGTACTAGGTCTACAGTTAGTACTAGGTCTACAGTAAGTACTAGGTCTACAGTAAGTACTAGGTCTACAGTAAGTACTAGGGCTACAGTAAGTACTAGGTCTACAGTAAGTACTAGGTCTACAGTAAGTACTAGGTCTACAGTAAGTACTAGGTCTACAGTAAGTACTGATACAGTAAGTACTAGGGCTACAGTAAGTACTAGGTCTACAGTAAGTACTAGGGCTACAGTAAGTACTAGGTCTACAGTAAGTACTAGGTCTACAGTAAGTACTAGGTCTACAGTAAGTACTAGGGCTACAGTAAGTACTCGGGCTACAGTAAGTACTTGGGCTACAGTAAGTACTAAGTCTACAGTAAGTACTAGGTCTACAGTAAGTACTAGGGCTACAGTAAGTACTAGGGCTACAGTAAGTACTAGGGCTACAGTAAGTACTAGGTCTACAGTAAGTGCTAATATACAGTACAAGATCTCAGTACTTGGTCTACAGTAAGTACTGATACATTGTACAAGATCTCAGTACTTGGTCTACAGTAAGTACTAATACATTGTACAAGATCTTAGTACTAGGGCTACAGTAAGTACTAATACATTGTACAAGATCTCAGTACCAGGGCTACAGTAAGTACTAATACATTGTACAAGATCTCAGTACTAGGTCTACAGTAAGTACTAATACATTGTACAAGATCTCAGTACTTGGTCTACAGTAAGTACTAATACATTGTACAAGATCTTAGTACTTGGTCTACAGTAAGTACTAATACATTGTACAAGATCTTAGTACTAGGGCTACAGTAAGTACTAATACATTGTACAAGATCTCAGTACCAGGGCTACAGTAAGTACTAATACATTGTACAAGATCTCAGTACCAGGGCTACAGTAAGTACTAATACATTGTACAAGATCTCAGTACTAGGGCTACAGTAAGTACTAATACATTGTACAAGATCTCAGTACCAGGGCTACAGTAAGTACTAATACATTGTACAAGATCCCAGTACTAGGTCTACAGTAAGTATTAGGTCTACTGTAATTGCTAAGTCTACAGTAAGTACTTATACAGTGTACAAGATCTTGGGTGCATTAACTGTGATGTGATTTCAGAATGGTAGCCCAGTCAATTCCATCAGTAACTTCATTATTATAAGTTCATTAACTGTGATATGATTTCAGTATGGTAGCCCAGTCAATACCATCAATAACTTCATCATTATAAGTATATTAACTGTGAATGATTTCAGTATGGTAGCCCAGTCAGTACCATAAGTAACTTCAGTGCAGGGTCAGAATTAGATGACTTTAAGGAGGACCCCTTTAAGAGTAACGATGTGTTTGGGGGCGACACAGGTGGAGGGGGGTCTGACCCATTTCAGAGTGATGACCCATTTAAAGAAAGTACATTTATCTGTATACTAAAGCAGGTTAGTTCATAGTTTGGAGATGTACATAAAGGAAAAAGTCATATTTAGGGAGTCCTGGTCAACATTTCTCATCAACTGACTTTTGCCAGAACTAAGTACATTGTATTTGATAAATGTCATTGTCTGAAAAAGTAAAAATGGTTATAAATTTTTGAATGTCAAGAAAGAAGTTAATTTCCTGAACCCAAAACATACATGCCATCACATGAAACAAATTCTTTTTTATACCCCACGCAACAAGTTGCGTGAGGTATAATGTTTTTGACCCGTCCGTCAGTCAGTCAGTGTGTCAGTCAGTCAGTCAGTGTGTCAGTCAGTCAGTCCGTCAGTCCTGTTTTTTTGTCAGCGCAACTCCTCATAAACCGCTGCACAGAATTTCGTCAAACTTTGCAGATATTTAGGACACAATGTGTAGATGTGCATATTACCAGGAAATTCTGATTCCTTTATTTTTTCTCGGAATTTCGGCACTTTTCAACTTGGAGTTTTGGCCATATCTTGAATATAGAGATGAACAGTTTGTCAGCGCAACTCCTCATAAACCAATGCACAGAATTTGGTCAAACTTTGCAGATATTTAGTACACAGTGTGTAGATGTGCATATTACCAGGAAATTCCGATTCCATTATTTTTCTGGGAATTTCAGCACTTTTCAACTTAGATTTTTGGCCATATCTTGAATATAGAGATGAACAGTTTGTCAGCGCAACTCCTCTTAAACCGCTGCACAGAATTTGGTCAAACTTTGCAGATATTTAGTACACAGTGTGTAGATGTGCATATTACCAGGAAATTCTGATTCCGTATTTTTCTGGGAATTTCGGCACTTTTCAACTTAGGTTTTTGGCCATATCTTGAATATAGAGGTGAACAGTTTGTCAGCACAACTCCTATTAAACCGCTGCATAGAATTTGGTCAAACTTTGCAGATATTTAGCACACAATGTATAGATGTGCATATTACCAGGAAATTCCGATTCCTTTATATTTTCTGGGAATTTCGGCACTTTTCAACTTAGATTTTTGGCCATATCTTGAATATAAAGATGAACAGTTTGTCAGCGCAACTCCTCTTAAACCGCTGCACAGAATTTGGTCAATCTCTGCAGATATTTAGTACACAGTGTGTAGATGTGCATATTACCAGGAAATTCTGATTCCATTATTTTTTCTGGGAATTTCGGCACTTTTCAACTTAGGTTTTTGGCCATATCTTGAATATAGAGATGAACAGTTTGTCAGCACAACTCCTCTTAAACCGCTGCACAGAATTTGGACAAACTTTGCAGATATTTAGTACACAGTGTGTAGATGTGCATATTACCAGGAAATTCCGATTCCATTATTTTTGCCTTAAGAGTTTTGCCTTTTATTGAAGAAACTTTCCAGCTAGGTAATAAGAAACTCCACTGGAATCAGCTTTTTATAATGAAATTCTATGTGAAATATTTTATGACCCTAAAAGACTCCTATTGATTTTGAGATCAAAATGTTAATGGTTTAACACAAACACACACTCACACACACACCATCTTCGATAGTTCTCTCCCCCCCCCCCCCTTCAAATTGGTGTGCTTTGCCTTAAATAATTTCATAAGTACAGTATATAAACAGATTCATATGACTACATCATAATTTTGTTTCCATCAATTATTTAAATGTGTAAACTGTCATGTGTTGGACATGGACTTACACTCATTAACAAATCGAAATCACTGAGGAATTTAAATAACAGTTTGTCAGCATAATTCCGGCACTGAATTTCCTGAAACTTTGTAGGTATTTCAGAATAATGTATAGATTTGTATATTACCAAGAAATTTTGATTTCATTATTTATCTAGAAACTTCAGCCCAGTTAAATTTGTAACATACAAAGATTTGAATGTCCTTATACGCAAGAAGTTTTGATGTGATGATTTTTTGCAAGTAATGCCCCTTTTTTGAATTATACTGTGTATTTAAAATGCACTGTGCCATTCATTACGTGTTGCATTGTCGAGTTTTGGGGAAGCGTGGGGTATGTGAGCTTGCTCACTTTTTCTTTCATTTTTTCTTATAGGTGGTGATCCCTCAAGTCATCGTTTGGTTCTGATCCATTCTCCTCTGATAATCCATTCAAATCCTCTGGCACATTTGAGAGTTCCTGTAAGTCTGAAAAGGTTCAAGCTTTCACTCTATTGTAAACCACCAGATAGATGCCTTTATGTCTTCATGTGTTCAGTTGTATTTCTTTCACTTTCTTCAGTTACAGGAATTTCATTCATAAAACAATTCAAATCATCACTAAGATAGTGAGGGTGTCCTCAAGCAAATCATTGCATTACCAAAGATTAGAAAGAAAAGAAAAACATTTAAGCTTATTAAACTGCCTTTCCATAAATTTATTTTAAAAAAGGATGGGGTGTGGATGGGGGTAAAACAAACAATGTTATCAACACGGTTTATAAGTCACATCTTTGAATATCTGTTTTGTAGGAAGATCCATTTAATAGTGTGGACCCATTTGCATCATTTGGAGGTACAGATAATTCCAAACTAGATGCTTTTGATCCTTTTGGGAAAGGAGGATCCAGCACAAAACCAAGTGTAAGAAACGGAGCCTGACATCTCTGATGTCTGTTCTTTTGCTAAATCAACAAAAGACATAGGATATTAGTAGAGATAAATAAATTTATAAAGTGCTGATAAAACCTTATTCATCTTTGTGAGAAGAGTTATGACACCTTGGGATTCTTTACAGAAATCAGACAATTTATTTGGTGGTGACCCTTTTGCACCGAAATCACCTTCTCGACCTTCTCTGGGACCCAAGTCACCAGCCCCAGCTTTGCCCCCCCCCCCAAACAGAGGAAACAGCCTCCTCCAAAACCTGTCCCTCCCAAAAACAGACCCACTCCCAGCCCTAGTCAACAGCTTGGGGGTTTTGACAGTGATCCATTTGCAGGTATGTTTTGTTTTGACTTAGTAGTGTTAAAAATAGTATATGTATCATTAAGTTGCATGAATTAATATTAAGTACAGAGTAAGTAGGTTTCGTCATCTCTATACATTTTGCCATCTGTATTTTCAGTCCATATTTTATTGCTTAGGCTATCACTTTGTTGTGAAGAGGCAGAGGCAATTACACTTGACACCAAGGTCAGTGTGATTAGGTCAAGGTCATAGATATTTGGAGTATACAAGGTGAAGGTTACAATGACCGACTTTTTAGATCACAAAAAATACATGTATATATTGAGAAATTATTACACCCATCCTAGACACTGATTTGTATAATTTTTTGAGCCATAATATTTAATGTCAGGATTTCAGATCTTAATACAAAATAAGCTCATTTCTATAGGAATCTATTTCAACATAAAGCTGATTATATTATTAATCCTTGTTAACCAGTGACAGGTAATGACAAAGCTGATTATATTACTAATCATTGTTTACCTGTGACAGGTAATGACAAAGTTGATTATATTACTAATCATTGTTTACCTGTGACAGGTAATGACAAAGTTGATTATATCACTAATCCTTGTTTATTTTGCTGTGACAGGTAATGACAAAGCTGATTATATTACTAATCCTTGCTTATTTTACTGTGACAGGTAACGACAAAGCTGATTATATAATTAATCCTTATTTTACCTGTGACAGGTAATGACAAAGCTGATTATATTACTAATCCTTATTTACCTGTGACAGGTAATGACAAAGTTGATTATATTACTAATCCTTGTTTACCAGTGACAGGTAATGACAAAGCTGATTATATTACTAATCCTTGTTCATCTGTGACAGGTAATGACAAAGTTGATTATATTACTAATCTTTGTTTATTTTACTGTGAGAGGTAATGACAAAGCTGATTATATTACTAATCCTTGTTTATTTTACTGTGACAGGTAATGACCCTTTCTCCAGCTCCACCGGAAGTAATGCCGTTGCCTCTGATAATGCTTTCGCCAACTTGGCAGATTTTAGTCCAAGCAAGGTATCAACAGATTTATATCTAATTCTGTGTCTTGAAAAAAATCATGTTTGATCATTGAAAGAAAATGAAACAATACAGTCAATATATTTCTATAACTGTTAATTTTTATGTCTGACATGGTTAATTTTTATGTCTGACCTGGTTAATTTTTATGTCTGGGCTGGTTAATTTTATGTCTGACCTGGTTGCAGTTTGATGCTATGGGAGCTTGGAGTTGAGAAGTCAATGTTAAAACAAGAGGGACCATAAGATTGGGGTGTGGCCAGAGTCGGAGACGTGTTGACTTTTAAGGGAGTAGTTTTGAGTGCTTCTTGATTATTTCTTCCTGTGATATCACAACAAACCCTCACAACTGTTGTAGAGTTATTTTATTGATTGACATCAAATACAAACTGCTGATGGTAATTCTGTTATCTTCACACAACTATTTACAACTTTTGGCCATGTTCTTGGCCCAAACAGTACAAAATATTAGAAGAAAGAAAACGCAGGAGATATTTGAATTACATGTACATTCCTTGATGTCAGCCACTGTTGTCTAATAAGGCAACAAAACTTTGTTAAGTGCAATATTCTGGTGACATGTTAATAATATTATTGTATTTATTTTTGAAAATAGAAAGAATGTAAACTAGTATGACGTAGGTTTGTATTGGTGTGTGATGATTGACCTCTGTTGGTAAAGTTTTCTTATTTTACACCAGTCACTTGGATAAACTACAAACTCATCATACTTGTGCAATCATAGTTTTATCTCTTATGTTTTTAGTTTTACATGTATGTAGTTATTTATATATAAAGTCCAGTCAATAAAATGTGCCAATCATTTAAAAAACAGTCTTTAGTCACATTTCTATTAATTATTTAATTAGAAAGAAGAGGTACCATTTAATGAAATGGAAAGATAACGAACAGTGATCCATCTCATCAATCCTGTAAACTATACAAATTATTCATAAGGGTAAGATCACGAACCCTTGGAAACAACAGAGGTGGGATCAAGTGCTTATATAGGGAGGAGTAACTCACCTGTTGAACAGTCACATCCACATGATCAGGTAAACGGAGTATTGTGTAATCAAACTTAGTATTGAAAATGGCCTAATAATTAGTATGAAACGTCAATCAAAAATGCAAATGAATGATAAATTGCGTTTGATTATAAGGTTACTATAATGACCAAAAAAATTGAGAAAATATTTGTAGTTGTCATTTGACTTTCACAGGTAGAAAAAAAACGAAGATTGGCTTCATTGACATGAAATGAAATTTTGTTTAAGATTGAATATTAGCAGCAAATCTGATGAAGAGAGACAATTGCCAGATACTTCATTCTGGACTGATATTAGTGTGGACAAAATTTATAGATATAAGACATAAAACATCTTCTGACTTGATAATATCCATTGTAAATATACTTATGCATGTATTATGCACAATTATCAACATGTACATTATATATTGAATATGTATCCATATGAAATCACAGGGTTCGTTCACTTTTACAGAACAGTGAAATATTGCCATTAATCCATTGAATAAAGTTGATATTTTCACGACGTGGTATTAAACCCCCACTTTCTAAAGAACGTTCGTGTATATTGTTGTTACCCTGGTCGGTTCGTCCGTCCGTCCGTCTGTCACACTTTCTTTTTAATCTAACTACTCCTACATTTTAAGCAGAATTCAATTTATCTTTTGGAATATGATAGGCGGTGTCTTATAGATGTCCAATAAGGTTTTGTAATTTTCAATTTAACCCATGGGACAAAACGGGGGTCAAAGAATGACTTTTTTTTTTATACAAAAGCCAGGTTCCCAGAACTCCTCCTACATTTTACACCGTAGCTTAATCATCTTTTGGAAGATGATTGATGGTGTCCTGTAGATGTGCAATAAGATTTCGAAATTTTCATTTTCACCCTGGGGGTCAAATGGGGGGGGGGTCGAAAAATGACTTTTTTAAATACAAAAATACCCTGGTTCCCAGAACTCCTCTTATATTTTATGCAGTAGCCTAAACACAATTGAACAATTATTAAATGAGATGGGTTATATGACTATGAGGATTCTTGGCAAAGAACACTCTAAATATTATTCATCAGAAGTCTCTGAAGAGACTTTAGCTCTACTGTAGGGGTGGGACAATATATCAATAGGTTGATTCTTTGTATTTATGATATGCATATATCGATACGTATATGTGTTTTTTTTGTTTGTTTGTATGTTGTTTAACGTCCCTCTCTAGAATTTTTCACTCATATGGAGACGCCACCACTTGCCGGTGGAGAGCTGCAAATTTTGTCCTTTACTCGGCACTTACGGCCATTGAGCAGTGAGGGATCTTTTTCGTGCCAGCACCTACTGCGACACGGGACCTCGGTTTATACGGTAAATCATTTACGGTACCAATTTTGATGCACCAGATGCGCATTTCGACAAATTATGTCTCTTCAGTGATGCTCAAGCCGAAAGGTTGGGAATCCAAAATTTAAATAAAAAGAATTGGAAGAGTTGAAAAAGTGCCAAAGACTGGAGCCAAATACTTTGAAGGATCAGAGCTATGCATGAGGGAGATAATCCTTAATTTGAAATAAATTTCTAAATATCACCAAAGCGATTAAATTATATCCGTATTTTCAAGCTAGTACCGAAGTACTAGGTTACTGGGCTGTAGAGACCATCGGGGACTAACAGTCCACCAGCAGAGGCCTCGACCCAGGAGTCATAATGTAAATCATATACGGTACCAATTTTGATGCACCAGATGCGCATTTCGACAAATTATGTCTCTTCAGTGATGCTCAAGCCGAAACATCAGAGGTGGGATCAGGTGCCATGGAGGAGTGAGCATCCCCTGCCGACCCGCCGTAAGCTTTTTGTCATGATCGAGATATAACGGAAAAATCTGTCGACAATTCAGTGTGTAAATAATGGCCTACATGTAACAATTAGTATGAAAAACGTCAGTCAGCATTTGACTCAATGATAAATTGTACTTGTTGACAAGGTCATTGCATCGACCATAGAACTTACGAAATGATGACTTTAAACGAGACTGCTGATATTCTTGTTTCGTCAACTTGTTTGTCAATAATTTACCTCGTTTTAGAAATTGTACATACGTAGAGCATGTTCTTGCGTATCGAATCAACTGAGAGATATAAACCCCGTATGCAGGTGATGAACGTATATTGCTGCATAAGTAAGGGAAGTTAATGATTGAAAAGTTAAAGTCATCACGTTTATCATAAAGCTTGGTTGTTAGATTACCATTAAAGTCTTTTTCAAGTAAAATATCCAAATATGAAACAGATGTGTCAGACTCTGTAGTATCTTTTATCTCAAGCTCACCGGGATATATCGTATCGACATAAGAATGGAAATAACCATTGCTAATTGACAATACGTCGTCGATATATCTAAATGTTGAGCTGAAGGCTACAGCAAGTGTTTTCTTCTTTTCACGTATAAGATTTTGGACAAATTCTAAATAAATTTGCTAAATATATCTATCATTATGAAATACATAATAATTAACACCACTTTTGATAAATAATTTTGTTTTACAATAGATAAATGCCTTTATGAATAAATTGTTCTTATTTATGAAGAATTTTTTTTTATTTCAATACAAAAAGATTTTATAACTAATGCAAGATATCCTGATATGTTTCGTTTCGTGACACAAATATCATGAAATGTATCAATATAGAAGTTGTACCATCCCAGCCCTACTCTACTGGTGTGTACTTATAATAAAAATGTATCTTCGTGAGTAGCGTTTTGAAAGAATTTTAAAGAAATTTCTATTTTTAGTAACCATGGTAACATTATTTTTTGAAATCAAAAACTGATATGTAAAATTATATGTATCTTAGTATAGTCTACTTGAACACCAAGACAATAAAATCAGACCAAAACTGTTTGAGGAGTAGCATTTTGAAAGAATTTCAAAGAAATTTCTATTTTAAGCAACCATGGGAACACCATTTATCAAAATCAAAAAAAAACTTTTGTATGGAATTATCTATCTTCGTTTAGTTCTTCTTCTATTCGAAGTTGTATTGTAATCAGACCAAAACTGTAAGAGGAGTGGTGTTTTGAAAAAAAATTCAAAATGCTCTCAATTTTAAGTAACAGTGCCACATCAATACTTGGAATCAACAAGAGGCCCATGGGCCACAACGCTCACCTGAGTCAGTATGGCTCTGCTGTTCCTCATCAGCAGATTTTTTCTATTATAATATATTCCTATGTAAAACTTTTATCCATATTGTGACCCCACCCTACCCATCAGGGTCATGATTTGAACAGACTTGAATCTACACTACCTCAAGATACTTGTCTGTCAATATGACTAAACATGGCTTTGCTTTTCTTGAAAAAAAGATTTGAGAATTTTTTCCTATGCATCCAAATGTTAAACTCTGATAGTGCATTGTGGCCCAACCTACCCCAGGGGTTCATAATTGAACAAATTTGAATCTACACTACCTGAGGATGTTTCCATATCGATATGACTAAACATGGCTTTCCTGTTCTTGAGAAGAAGCTTTTTGAAGATTTTTCCCTATATATTCCTATGTAAAACTTTGATCCCCCATTGTGGTCCCACCAAAATTATGTATCTTAGTATGCTCTACTTGCGTACCAAGTCTTACTGAAATCAGACCAAAACTGTTTGAGGAGTAGCATTTTGAATAAATTTCATAGAAAGAAAGTGGGCATACTAGATAGGCAGTCGGCAGGAATCATTGACATGAAACATTTCAGTCGCCCTGAAAAATAAATCTATGCTGGATACATTTAATAAAATATACAGTACCTGGCCATAAGTCTGTCATAAAAATGGCTGCTAAAATATCAAATTTAGAAAACCAATTTTTTTTCTTTAACGTTGGTAAATAAATCACTCTAAACAAGCCGCTGTTGAATAGTTTCTTTCTATAGAGTGTATATAATAATTATTATCTGTCAAATAGTTAGCAATTGACAAGATGGCTACTAAAGGTAAACAAATGTCTACCCCTATGAAAAACGCAATAATAACTATATCTGAGAGTGGATATACCCAACAGGACACTGCTACTATTCTTTCTGTAAGCCAGTCTGGGATTTCCAAGTTTATTAAGCGATACAAGACGCGTGGATCCAGTGAAAATAAGCATCGAAGCGGACGCACTAGAAAAACTGATGTACGTGGTGATCGTAAGCAACTTCGA